AATTTCAGGTTTTAAAACATGTCCTCCTCACCTGAAATCCACCCACAGCAGGCTTGCAGTGATCAGTCCCAGCCACTCACTGGCCTCCCAGTTGTTTGTCAGCATCACCGGCACAATGATGACCTGCCGTTTATCGGCATAGTTGAGTTCCTTCTTACAGCACTGTGATGCCTGGTAAGCCGGAGTCATAAACGGACAGATCACAGCAGCCTCTTCCACTCCTGCAGCCATGCTGAAAACGCACACAGATTTAATATGCACAACACAGCAGTGATGAAGCCCATCAGAGATTAGAACAGATGAAACACGTTATCCACGTCACTTTGCACTCATGCATCGTTGATGTTGCCCGTCACCCCTCCTTCAATGTCCATCCACACCGGGAGCCCGTCATCTTTCAGGTGATCGTATATCTTCTTGACAAGAGGCTGATCATCCCACTGGTAGGAGAGCATAATGTGAGACGGCATTTTTTGGTTTTTTAAATTTTACTTAGATTTATGAGAAAGGAAAAGTCCTGTGATGCTTTGGAGTGGGTGGTTTCTGAGTTGCTGAGCAAACTAACCCACACAATGAGACTCTGTAGCTATGCTGCTTGTTTGCTGTGGTCAGATTACACCTGTTGCGTGGTTGCAGCAGGCCATGATGGCAACTACAAGCTGCAGGACAAATGAGAGGTCAGCAATGACAATAAACTGTAAGCATTTTCCAGCCATTCCTACCATTTATTATTTATACTGAGCACAGTTTAGACTTACAACAGACAGACTGAAGTCTGTTATGAAGAAATAAGAAACGCCCTATTTGTGTTTATGATACCATTTGCTTTAGCGATGACGGATGTTATTGTAATGTTTTTCTGGTTTAAATAGAATTCATTTAGGTTTTTATGCAACAGTGTTTTTAAAGAAGCACAAACTGCACAAACAAATTTACATTTATTCAGAAATCCTTGTACATTAGTATCAGCTGCTAACTTCAGAGCTTAGATCAACAACAAACTGCAATCATGTCGTTATTATCAGGGTGGTTTCTTTCATCATGTGTTAGTTTTATGCTTTCGTTTCAAAGAGAAACTCATAAAAAAGTATCTTGTTTGTAAAGTTTTAAATATTTTATGCAGAAACATTGAAATATTCAGGAAAAATTAACTATCATTATTGGAAAACTGTAAAATTGTATATAAAATTGTTTTTTGTTTTTTTTCCCCCAGTGAAGGAAGCAGGCTCACATGCAATAATCATCTTTTATACATTTCAGAGCTCTTGCTTGCTTTATGCTCCTGAGAGCTGAGGAAAGAATCTTCCCATTGAACATGAGATATCAATGTAAAGCCCAGGATGTCCTCTATTTAGTACAGCGGGACTTATTGGGATAGCTAAAATAAGTCAAAAGATATAGACCAAGAATAAATGTCCATTACAGAGGACATGAATGAATAGGCTGGTTCTCAGCTATTCATGGACTTTGCAAATGCACAACCCCCACAAAGCCACTAGGGGGACCCCAAGCCGCAAGCTCAGCCTCATATATTTGGGAAAATATTTAAATGACCTATCTTCATTTGGAGCTGCTCTCTTCTGTGTGTTTACTGAAACACTTATGTGGTTAAAACTGAAATGTAGGATATTGCCAAAGCTAAGCTGCAACGACAGGGAAGCTGTGGCTGGTGTTTGTGAGGTGATCATTTAAAGAAAAATCACCATTAGGATATCTTGTTGTGAATGAAGTCTGCTGACAGGTATGATGTATGACTGACAGCCTCACATCTTCACGAGGAGAATAAGGGTGGCCCAGGCGGCAGTGAAACCTGGATTGCATCAAAATGTGTTTATTTTTTAAGCATAAAATTAAGAAAAGAAGAAGAAATCTACAGAAATATGCCCATGATAAAGAAAATATTTGCTTCTGTGGAGGAGGAGCCAGAATTTAAATAAAAAAATAAAAACAAAAACAGAAAGCTGAAGTTGAAGAGGATGTATTACTCTTCTTATTGTTGTTGGGATTTTCTTATTTGAACTTTAAAATAGATGCTATAGTTTCTTTGTATTTTAATATGGTATTTCACTTTATTTTCACCTTATAGCGTAATTTTCACACTGATGTGGATACCAGTTAGGTTTTGATTTGAAATAGTGATTTCATTAATTTTATGTTCATCTGGAATATTTTGGAGAAAAATGGCGCAAAGAAGCTTCATTATTTACTTTTATGTAGATTTTAATTGCTTGCACCAATTGGAGGTCTTTCATCTGAATTTGAGATATATAATTATCACCATGGATCATTGGATCATCTTAAAAAATTTAACCTATCCACCCCCACCCTCCCAGTTATAGTGTTATAAACTGCGATCCCCAAAGAGAATCTCGCATTGGGCCCTCAAAAAGCTAGAAACGGCCCTGATAAACTTCAGTATTTTGCTGAGAAGCTCGTGTGGATGTTACATTGAGAATCCTTAGACCTGAGGAGACATCGTCATCCCAACCACCCTAGGACTAAGTGACCGGATAGCCTTGATTTTTCCTTTCTTTGCCTTTTAAAGAGTGGTACAGTTTCTGCTTTTGACCAGCAGAGTGAGCCACCCTAACACTTATATGTTCCTCTGCTTAGACGGGAGCACTTCATTAAATCACTTCAAGCTCATACTAACCACATTACCACAAAGGGGCCTTTTAGGACACTGTTTTGGCTTAACTGGTGTGATATCCGTATTTATGCACTTTCCACCTGACTTCTTCCACAGGTCAGCTATACTAGGCCACGTGTCAGCAAGAGGCACGGAAGGTAATCTCTCAGCCTAATTAAATCTTAAGCAATCAGGGCCACAGATGGAGCCGACCAGCGTGGGACGCGCCGCCTGCCAGGAGGAGTGTTCACGGCCCACAGTTGGTGCCAGTCAGAGGTGTCGAGTTATGTGAAGGAGCCAAAGGGGGATTTGCACTGTGCCATGGCTGATTTTTTTTTTTGTATCCAGTATCACGCAACAAGCTACTGAAGTACGGTGAAGGAGAATGACCGCTCGCAGTCGCCCTGCGCGCAAAAACGCGTTCGTCCGTTTCGGTTCGGAAAAGTGCGCTCAAACGTTAGGACAAAACTGAGGACTTGGACTCGAGAATATGCTGCCCGGCATCGACCTCAACAAACCGAGAGCTCAAAGCCACGCGTAAAGGAGGAATGGGGTGCAAGGATGCCTCAGCTTCGCTCCTTCAGACGCTCGTCCTGTCCCTGCTGTGCGCACAGTCGCTGGGACAGGTCTTCAACCTCACGCTGTCTGTTAAAGAGGGTCTTCCGGCCAGAACTATCGTTGGAGATCTGGGAGCGGGACTAAGCAGGCCGAGCACTGGGTTTTTCATCTCAGAAAGCAGAGACTCGTATGTTTTCAGAGACTTGGAAATAGACGCGGACACGGGCATCATCTCCACAGCTGTAGTCCTGGACAGAGAGAGCAGGGATAAGTATGAATTTGTGGCAGCCACTCTCACAGGTGAGATGATAAAAGTGACAATAGAGGTGAAAGATGTGAACGACCATTCTCCCGTGTTCCCCTCCGAGCAGGTTGAGCTGGAAATATCAGAACTGAGCCCACCGGGGAGTCGGTTTCAGATTGAAGGTGCTAAAGACCAGGATGAGGGCGAGTTTGGTACTCAGGGATACAGGATCACAGAGAGTGAGATGAGTGACTTATTCCACCTGGATTATCGCAGTGGATCTGACAACCACCTCAGCCTGGATCTAGTTCTTAACAGTAAGCTAGACAGAGAAGCGCAGGACTTGTACACGCTGACAATCGAGGCCTTTGATGGGGGGATCCCAGCCAGGACCGGGACTCTTCAGGTGAACATCCACGTCCTGGATGAGAATGACAACCCGCCTGTGTTCAACCAGACTGAATATCACACCTCAGTGCGTGAGGATGCTCCAGTCATGTCTGCTGTGTGTCAGGTGCAGGCCACTGACTATGACCTGGGTGACAATGGCAGACTCACGTATGAGATCAACAGGAGGCAGAGCGACCCAAATGAGGTTTTCTCCATCAATGAAACCACCGGGGTGGTCTATCTCAACAAGCCGCTTGATTTTGAGACTCAGGCTTTTCATGAGTTGATCATCAGCGCAAGAGACAACGGGGTTCAGCCTGAGTACAGCAGCACTTTCGTGGGTGTCAGAGTGCTTAACATCAACGATAACAGCCCCACCATCAGTGTACTGTTTCTCAGTGACGCAGGAGATGCTGTGGTGTCTGAATCAGCAGCAGTCGGGGACTACGTAGCCCGGATTTCAGTGTCGGACCCCGACCTCGAGGGGGAGAGGATCACTGTCACACTCGAGGGAGGTGATGGGAAGTTCACCCTGAAGCAGACAGATGACTTTCTGTATGCACTGTGTGTTAACTCTGAGCTGGACAGGGAGGAGAAGGATTTGTATGAGCTGAAGGTGCAGGCATCAGATTTTGGCAACCCTCCCCTGAGCAGTGAGACGGTCTTCCTCCTGAAGGTGTCGGACATGAATGACTGTTACCCAGTCTTTGAGAAGGATGCGTATCTCATAAGTATTTCTGAAGATGCTCCTCAGGGGAGTTCCCTCATCCAGTTTCAGGCTCGAGACGCAGATGAGGGTGCAAACTCAGAGGTCCGATACTCCATTCTGAAGTCCAACCAGGACAGCCTGATCAACATTGACCCGGAGTCAGGCCTGGTCACCACAGCTGCAGCTCTGGACAGAGAGACGCAGGTGGAGATATGGTTCCTGGTGGTGGCAGTGGATGGAGGAGAAGCGGCTCTGTCATCCACAGCGACAGTCACGGTGCTCGTGGAAGACGTCAACGACAACGAGCCAGTGTTCGAGCAGCAGCTGTACAATGTGTCCATACTAGAGCAGAGCGATGTTGGAAGCTGCTTTTTACAAGTATGTTGGAGGATATTCAGCATCATTTTGGTGACTTATCTAAAAGAACAACACATTATTGTTTCTGAATGGTTCTAAATACATTTTCTATCCAAGGAGGATCCACAAGATAATACTAATGATAATAATAATTGGCACTGAATTAGAAAAGCTTATTAACAAGGCAACAAATATATATATATATATATATTTATAATTTGGGGAGCTGACACTCATATGAAATCACATGCATATTTATTTATTTTTTTACAAGAACACATCCACACACACACCAGGGGAGCGTTTCACTTGACTTGGCACTCATCTCAGTAAAATATCAGCTAACATGGATTCACAGAAACAAAAATAAAGATATCTTTGTAGTTCCTGAAAGATTCACAGTAAATATCCAGCATCTCGTGCTCTTTTGCTGTGTCTGTCTTACGTCTTATAAGACAAAAGTAGCCTTCAGTCTGTTTGCACAAAGCCGTCAGTGTTCCTCCTAAAGATGCTCAACATGCACCCTTTCCAGCTTAGCTCTGTGGCTTTAGTATGACAGATGTGCTGCCTGGTACCACACTCCAGCAGGCTGGCACAAAGTGCATCCCATCACAAAGGAACATTTGTTTAAGGGCACATTTTCTGCAAACACGAGATTCGATGAATATATAAGGACTGAAAATTTCGAAACATCTGGCTGACTTTTAGTTGCTTAGTTCCCGATTTGAACTTTAGGTACGACGCTTCAGAATACTGAAGATGTCATCCAAAATAAATGCGAGAACTAGCAGGAGCAGAAGTAACCAGAATATCTGGGAAGTCATCTATAAGGAACCCCCCCCTCCTCTGTCGCATGATTTTGCAAACGCAGCACACATGCTTTATTCTAAGAAGCAAGCTTCAAAAAACTGACTGTGTTTGCGTGACTGTCCAGACCTTGACCCATGTCTTTAAACTTCCTTTGATCAGAGTTCACAAACTGTGAGGTGATATCATCTTTATTACTGTAAAATGAGCGAGACATGTCTGCAGTCACAGTCACAGGCAGACATGAAAGGAGCTGCACAGGATATAAGGCGCGTTTTTACTATAATCTTTATACTGCAGGGATGGTCCTCGCCCTTTGATTGTGGGGATTTTTTTATGCTTTTATTATGTTGACTCTCACTGTCAAAGGAAGACGCGTATTATGATTCATAGTACAAAGCTTAATCTAAAAGCTGGCAGTTACTGTAGTATGGGAGTGCTGTTTTACAAGGAATATTTCTTCTAATATATAAACACTTAAACATACCAAAAACTGCTGATTTATACATAAAGTATTTGAGTAGGAGCACTTCATAATTTACTATATATATATATATATATATGTATATATATATATATGTATATAATATGCAGTTATGTGCACACAACCTTCATAAGATGAGGGACATGAATTGAAACACAAAGCATGAATGAATTCATGTCAAACTGCATGAACCACAAAGACTGTCTATTGTGTGCTTTGATTCAAGAACAATATATTTGTTAGTGCAGTTATTAATTAATAATAATTAGTCAGTTATTGATCACGTCCATGTCACTTCATACTGAACTCTTTCGTTCTCAGATCACTTAAAAACTGGGCAGCGATGAACACAAATGTCGTAATCATTCAATCATCACTAACTAAGGAGGTGTTCTTCCTCGCTTCATCATCATTATATAAGTTCAGTTATATTGTTGAGTTATTAATAAAGGCCTTGTTATTATTTTCATTTTCAACGAGCAGTTTCAGGTACAAAATCTAAGCTCACCTAAACCAAATAATCTACCTGTGGACATTTTCAAACGTGTTTCTCTTAATTCTTTATATTTTTATTAAACATATTACATGTTTTACCTTTGTTTTATTTTTAGCATTACAGTGTAATTCTTTAGGGTTTCCCCTTTTAACATGTGCTTATTAAAATAAAGGATCAGGGCACCATTTTTACCAGAAAGGTTAAAGATACCTGTTAAAGTTGTGAAGAAAATCATCTTAGATGATCATAATTACACCATATGCAGCACATATAGCACATTATAGGCTGATGATAGGTTTTAAATTAATTATTTAGTGTTTTTTTCCCCACATATGACCTTAGATAAGTTTTACACTAAATTGTTCCCAGTTATTCTGCAGCACTGGTTTTAATTGAATTTCTCTTTTGTGTTAAAGAAATGATTTAAGATGTTTTCATTTTTGCACCTCCTGTTTTCATGCCTGCATTTGTCTTCTCTCTAGGTCGTCGCTACAGATGCAGACAGCCCTGAGTTTGGGACGCTGCTCTACTCTCTGTCTGACGGCTTCGACAAACAGGCCACACATCCGCTCTTCCAAATAAACCCCCACACCGGAGAGCTGTGCGTCTCCCAGGATGTTGATCGAGATACGGGACAGACGGTCCACGACATCCTGATCAAGGCTGAGGATCCAGTGAGTGACAAACAGATATATAACAGTGGATTTCAGTTAAAAAATGTGTCCCTAATTTCTGGGTCCTAATACAATCCTCTCCCTCAGGGAGGCTTGAGTGCTCAAACCTATGTGCACATTGAGATCGAGGACTTGAACGACAACGCTCCAGTGTTCAGCCCTGAGGAGTACACCGTGAGCATCAGCAGCCACGCGCAGCCTGGCACAGAGATCGTCAGCGTTATTGCCACTGACAGAGATTCTGGCAGGTTTGGCCAGGTTACCTACGACCTCCTTCCTGGCGACATGTCCACTTTGTTTTCGCTGGATAAACAAACAGGTAGGGCCGTAAAGATGCGAGAACACTTTCTGTTATAGTCTGAACATAAGTGTGTGGACACAATTTCCAGTGAAACAACTGTTGCTTTTCCAATATTGAAATAAATAAAGCTTTGTGTAGGTTTCAGTCTTGGTAAAGGATAGCATTTTAACTTCTTAAGCTTGATTTGTCACATTGATCCAATCAGTAGTCTTTAAGTAAACTGTGTGACTGGCAGGCTCCATTATTCAGGGATAAACGACTGCTTACTTTGTGTAAGTCCCCATGAAATAATTGCCAATGTCACAGCTCAGCAGGGGTGGTGCAGAAAGCCCCAAAAGGCTTAGATCCCCAGGTGGCTAAGGGGTAAGATAAGATTCGTGCTCAGCCAAAATTTAACACCATGAAATGGATAAATTATAGGAAAAAAAAACTTTAATCTGACACTTTTCTGCCTGCATTTGTTATATAGACATATATTGATTCTCTTGCACTTATACGATGCATTTTGGTTACAAAAACAAGCCCTGTCCTTCCCACCTGTCAATATAATAAATGTGAAGTGTTGTGAATCTCATTTCACACATTTGAAAAGCAGAAAGGAACTGGGGAAATATAAAAACATTTTAAATTAATTTCTTTATGTCGTATTTTTCTTCTGTAGGAATGCTTCTCCTGACCTCCACTCTGACTCACCTGGGCACAGCTAATGTAAAGCTCTTGATAACAGCACAGGACGGAGGAGGCTCGATCTCAGCCAGACCTGCAGAGGTCACGATCAATGTTTTACGCAGTGCTCAGGCTCCAGCTGTGTTCCAGAGGTCACGTTACGCTTTCACAGTGCCTGAGGACGCACCACCGGGGACACCTGTGGGGACGGTGCAGGCCATCAACCCAACAGGTTAGACTATTATCTATTCCTTAGTATCCAAACTGATGTTAGAGCAGCTGGGAGAGAGTCATCACAAGGTCCCAGACTCTACCTCTGCTGAACATCACTACGGCAACGGGAGAAGTTTAAGAACTAAGATTTTGTTGAGTTGCTGTAGAGGACACAACATACACCATATGGGGGGGGGTGGGGAAGGACTGGGGTCACCTGTAACTTCACCTGCTCTGCCACTTCTTGGCTGTGAGGCTGAGGTTCTTAAATGCTCCCATTTCGCTGTAATCCCACTAATAGGTGATCAGGGAATCAGTTGGAGGGACGAAATCCCACAAACTTACTTGTTGCATTGTTGAAGTAACATTCTCAAATTCATTGAGCCATTTTAGCGCCATGGCTCCGTGCTTGATTTTATACTCCAATGGGACTGAAGCAGATGAGTTCAATAACAGAGAGGTGTGTCCCAATACTTTTGTTCATATAGTGTCATTTGTCAGTCCAATTATACTCTGAGAGCTTCACACTCTCAGTAAAGGATCTGAATCAGTCCCTCAAAATAAAACATCAGTTTTAAAACTGAAAAACATTTAGAACATTTTATAAGTTTCTCTCTTCTTTAGGCTTTTGTCACGAGTGCAAACAAAAGGAACAAAGCGTAAAAGTGTTCTTGCATAATAAAGCTATAGTAAAAGCTTCAAGCTAGTCCTGCTGTAATCACGTGCTGCTGAGAGTTACGTTTGTGTGAACAGGACTCTGAAAATCACTGAGTTTCTTTTTGGCCTCCAGTTCAAAGAAATTCAGTTCGGATGGTTCGTAAACTGTATCAACTTTATGGTAAGATAAGCTAAACAAGCAAAGCTAACATTTGTATCTTGAATTATATATTTTTTAAACCTATACAGCTGTTTAATATGAGGTGGATTAGTGCCGGTACTGACATTATCGTGCTTCATAGGTCTCTTGAAACATAATAACTGGATTTAGACACATTCAGAATAGGTGGCTGTTACACAAAGGCATTAATATCCCGACAGATGATTGCGACAGAAACGGTTGAGCGATAAAAGTTGCTCAAATCTCCTTTCAGACATGAAGAAGCTAAAGTTTAATCTTTAATCCCTTTGAGTCTCACGAACACATGACAGATAATAAAGAGTAGCTGTGCAGTGTACTGCATCTACATCAGAAACAATCCTGTTACAGATCAACCTTTTTCTTCCTTGTTGTTCTAAACTTATTTATTGGGCGCTTTCTGTTAAATATAACAGCAGGTTGTGGTGGCAACAGTTTAAGTAATAGAAGAGTGGATGTCATATATAATTTTATTCTCAGTATCTTAAAAAAAACCTCTGCGTAGATGGTTTTCAAAGAGTAAAGGGATTCATAATTATCTCCTCATAGTCTTGTTTTTTCACCGAATGCCTTCAACAGCTAAACGCCCCAACAACACTAGACAGTCATTCAAGGCTGTCTAATCACTTAAGAGATTAACACTTTGACTTAAAGCAGAAACAGCAGAATTGGGGTTGTTTGACAGGAGTCGAGCACCATTAAGCTCTCAGCTTGTTTCAGGAGTTTTTAGTTTACAGTCGAAGCACAACAAACACTTGCAGGGGATTAATGGGATCTTCTGGCCTGTGCTTTAATTACTTAAAGTGTATTAGCGTGTGTGTGTGTGTGTGTGTGTGTGTGCGTGCACATCTAGAAAGTCTTTAAATGTCTAATTCATGTAAGCCCTTTAAATTTTTATGACTATTTCAAAGGGAAAAAAGTTGTTTTTTTGTTTTTTCTACAGACTCCATGGAATCTGTATCTTATCGAATCTCTTCTGGAGACCCTCAGAGTTTGTTCTCCGTTCATCCAAAGTTGGGTCTGATCACTAACCTCAAGCCCCTGGATCACGAGTCTCAGCCGTACGCTCTTCTGGTTCTTCAGTCCTACACCGACGCCTCTCCCGTTTACAGCACCACCCAAGTCAACATCACTGTAGCTGACGTTAATGACAACGCCCCCATCTTCCCCAAACATAGTGACACCATCACGGTGTCACAAAACACTCGACCGGGAACCGTGTTGTTCATCGCTCACGCGCATGACTATGACAGCGGTGCCAACGGTCGGGTGCAGTATTACCTGAAGAGCAGGAAAAATGGCGTGTTTGTTATTGATCACAATCTCGGGACGGTTACGCTAAATGAGAGTTTAGAAATGGATCATCAGCAGGGATACAATCTGGAGATTGTGGCCAAAGATGAAGGAGAACCTTCCCTGAGCTCCACCCTGACCCTCTCAGTAAACGTAGACCAAACGACTGCCGAAGACAGCCTGGCATTTGAGACGTTGATCTATCACGTGGAGATTGGGGAGGGCTACAGGAAAGATGCTCGGGTCATCCAAGTGAGGGCTCACCGAACCCGGGGAGCCCACATTTCAAACTCCGGCATCATCTACTCTTTGGAAGGAGAACCTGGCTTCCCTCTGGTTCCGTTTCGGATTCACCCAAAGACGGGATGGTTGTATCTCTCAGCCAACCTGGACTATGAGACAGAGTCCAAGTATCATTTTCGAGTGTTGGCTACGGAGGCTTCACTGTCAAATACCACGGCTATGGCCACAGTGACGGTGCTGGTGCTGGATATCAATGACAACGCCCCGGTGTTCAGCAGGGACGTTTACTACTTCACTGTGTTGGAGGGGTCGTCGCCACAAGGTCTGGTGGGAACCGTCAAGGCCGTGGATAAGGATTCTGGGAAAAACGGCCAGTTGTCCTATCTCCTGCTCTCAGATGGGAAATTCTTCCGAATCAATGCTAAAACAGGTACAAACACCACCTTAAAGTTACCTTGTGCTCCGTGGTCACCTATGTGACATTAACCTTTCTCCATCTTCTGCCAGGTGAAATCATCAACTGGGTGGCACTGGACCGGGAACAGTACAGCCAGCACAGTCTGAAGGTGATGGTGACAGATCAGGGTCACCCTCGTCTCAATGCCACCGCCACCGTTCACATCCTGATCGCCGACATCAATGACAACGCGCCGCAGTTCACTCACCTGCCAGCCAGTAAAGAGCTGAATGTGCAGGTAAGAACGATGCGTCTTCATCACAACGTGATGCAACTACTGATGCAATCAAAAGCAGTCTTGGTAAATTACAGTTGCATCTGCGCTCCAAACTGCACATGCTTCTCAATAACATTTAGCTGTTGTTGCCTTTTGATGCATCAGGAAATGCATTTGTCACTTTAGCGGTAAAACTCAGGAAGTTCCCATGTAGTCAAAAAACAAATTGTTAGTCTGTAAAGGTACTTTAATGTTGTTTTGATTAATACCTAACCAAAATGACAAGCACAACGGCGGGAAAAAGTCCTTTACACTAAGAAAAAACAGAAATAAGAAGAAGATACAGAAATAGTGAAGACAGACAAAGAGCAGCTCATGAAGCAGGCAGTTAAAGACATGGAAAAGAAAAACTAAGTGAAAACTAAGTACAGGTCGACGAGTTAATACAAAAAGACATGACAATATTCCCCATATACAAGCATTATTTAATATTATTAATTATTACACCGTCACAACATCCCCCACATGTATCAATTCATGCTACACAAATTGATATATTATAGATTTTGGTGTCATCATGTTGTCTCTCAAAGACCTAGTACCAGGCAAAAGTGGGATAATTTATCTAAGTAATACTGTAGCATGTGTATATTCTAATAAGGACCATCTATGATCATACACAACATATTATCAGCACACATTAAAAAGCAAGTATAAGGAGAGCAAATATCAAAATATCATAAATTACTTCAAGCGCTAATATACTGTGAACATTAACGTATATATGTGCCATGAATAAATGAACTTGAGATAAATATGACTTAGTGTCTAAGATTAGATACAGTTGTGCAAGTCTTACTTGTACTCTATATCTTTAGTGTATGTGTTGTTATGTTGTCAGATGTAGTTATGCTCTCTACGTGTTCACTTCAGATATGGGCTGGTCTACAGTCAGGATCCTTGGTCACGAACATGTTTGCCAAAGACTTGGACGCAGGAGAGAATGGAACAGTTATTCATTCACTGGTCACAGGTGAGCTGTAAACGTGTGTCCTGACTCATTATACAGATTTGGTCTGAAAAAGATGTTTTTTTTAGCTGTGTGGGATGTTTTTGGTAAATTTATGTTTTTTAGGGTGCTGAATCTAAAAATGATCTCCATTTCCCTCCATCATGTACAGTTTTTTTGCAAAACATGATGAGTTCACATAAAAAAGCGTAACAGCGATGGAAAAAACAATAAATATTTTATTACAATTAGCTATGCATAGTGTTTCTGAGATTCCTTACCTTTCACTATGAACAAAATAAACCTGTCGGGACACGATCATCTGAGCTCCTCATGCCGCCAAGCCCATCATATCCCACCCCTCGCCCTCAATTCCTCACATTTTCTATTTATATTTCTCTTGAGTCTCACTCTTAGAAACATTAAATTAATGTAAGAAATTATTATTGGATATGGTTTCTTGACTCAAGTATAGGATACCGGACTTCAGTTTAAAAAGGGACATCGTACGCTTAATTAGACTAAAAACAAGAGTTGTGGAAGCAAACCTGACGAGGATGGAATTTAAAAAATATTTTTCATAGTTTCAGTGAGTAAAAATCTATAAGAAACAGTCAGAAAATCCTGTTTTTTTGTTGCAGACCTGTGTTATTAACAATTCGCTCTGTTCGCATCTCTTTTTGTCTGCTTTCAAAGATGATGATCTGGAGCACTTTGAGATTGACAGCAAAACTGGAGACATCACAACAACAGAGCTCTTCAACCAAGATGCAAAAGCGTACTACACTCTGAAAGTGACCGCCAGGGACAGCGGAGTCATCTCTCAGGAGGACACTGCAGTCATTCATGTACAGGTACGGGCTGTGCTCCAGTTAGGGCCACACCTTTAAAAACAGTGACATATTATTTAATTGCAGTACGAACGTTCAGCTTTAATTCAAGAGATTTTACAAAAATGCTGCATTAACTGTTTTGGAAGTTTACACTCATTTTTATACAGTGCAGTATTTTATTGCTTTATTGTTTGCATCTTTTCAAGAGTAAAGCTGGGTTTGGACATGTGCTTTCCTCCCATAATCCGAACGGAGGGAAAAAAGGTAATTATAGCAAACTAAAACTTTGTCCTTTTTTTGTGCTTTTCAGATTCATGGATTAGAAGATCCATACGGCCGCTCCGATCGCCAAATTGTGAGACGCTTTTTGGTGCGGGAGGACACGGAGCCTGCGACTGTTATTGGCTCTGCACGTGTTTCAGATAAAGGGAGATTTCACTATTCCATCACTGAGGGGGACGGGAGTGTTCACTTTGGGATCGACAGCTCCTTCGGTGACATATACATCAACCAGCCGCTGGATTACGAGGCTGCCATGCAGTACTTCCTCGTGGTTCGTGCTGAGGACGCCAGCCTCATTCCCATCGTGAATGTGTCTGTTCTGATTTGTGTGATAGTGGAGGATGTGAACGACCACACGCCCTGGTTCCCTGATAAACTGGTGATGTTTGGTCTGAGGGAGGACGCTGCAGTCGGATCGCTGGCGTATGCTTTTCATGCCAGAGACGCTGACGGGACCTTTCCAAACAGTGCCCTCCGCTATGAGCTCGCCTTTGACGCTGAAGTCAGCGGGTCATCATCACCCTTCCCCTTTCGGATCGACCCTTACACGGGGAGCCTGACTGTAGCAGCACCTTTAGATCGCGAGAGCACCCCCAGCTTTGCATTCACTGTAACAGCCACAGATCAGGCGAAGGAGAAGAATGAGCGTAAACAGGCTTCGGTGACGGCTCAGCTCTTCCTGCTGGACGTGAACGATAACCGGCCGGTGTTCGTATCAGCAGACACAGCTCAGGCGATGGAGGACGCAGAGGTGGGGAGTCTGCTGCATCATTTTGTGGCAATAGATGGAGATCAAGGTGAAAATGGGATCGTTTCCTTCTCTATTATTTCTGGAAACAAGAAAGGCTTGTTCACACTGGAGGAGAAGACAGGTATTTGTGATTTTTGCACAGCGGAAAAATTTATTCTAAATAAAACTTTACCTAAAAAAAACTCATCAGACTCACCATATGAATATCAGACATATGAACGTCTGCTGATTCACAGTGAATTAAAACATTTCACTTTTAAATGTGAACATTAATTCTTCTTTTATTTCCTTCCTTCTTTTTCAGGCCTCTTGCTTCTCACTGCCCCGTTGGATTATGAGACAGAACGTTTCCACCGCCTGACCGTCCGTGCGCTGGACCAAGGCCTGCCCTCACTCTCCTCCACCCAGACTCTGACAGTGGAGGTCGGGGATGTGAATGACCAGGCGCCTGTGTTTAGGCAAACCATTTACACCGCCACTGTGGCAGAGAACAGAGACCCTGGAGAACCAGTGATCAGGGTCTCTGCCACTGATGAGGATTCAGGTAATAATTCATTTGACTGGCGAAAAGTCAGAGGTAATACCAACAAATAATGGCTGAAATGGGACATTTATACTGAGGTAGTGTACATTTAATTTTGAGCTCCAACTATTTAAAAATTCCTAATTTTTGTTTTCATTTCATTTAAAAGTTTTTATCTAATTTTCCAAATGAACACAGCATTTAACAGCATTTAAATTTAGTTTGAAATTGCCCTGATATTAAAGTGGAGACGGCAGTTTCCCTGTGAGCTACCTAGATGGCAGCACTAGCACATGTCCATGAAGCCTAAAACCATAAATCCGCTAACCATGAAAAGATGAAGGCAACAAAATAAAGTAGGAGCCAAATTGCAAAACTACAGCTTTTCCTGGCAAGACAAAGTACAACAGTCCATGTTTATTACTTTTTTTCTCGTACCATGTGCCGTAATGCAGCTCAGCTTCCTTGTCGAACTTCAGCTCTGCTGTTTTTTCACTCCATTAACAGTTTAATTGAAACCACACCCTGCTGTTTTCCTCATATGCTTTTCGGTTTGTCTGCTCTGCTCATTGCACATCCCACCGAATCTCATTCACCCGACTCTTTAATCATATTCCCGAATCTACACATCGGCACTGTTTATTTTAACACATCGCGCACGGGGCCTTCTACATCCCGTTTCGTCTCCTCGTTGTTGACAGTAGGATTCTTTTTAAATACTGGAGATGGAGGGCGTGCGGCAGGGGGACCTGTACAGGAGGGGTTTCAATGTGAACTAACATTCTTGGGGGTGAGAATTGTCCAAGAACAGCAAGCAGACAGCTCCTCTGGGAAATCTGAAAGGTCCTCTCTCATCATGATTTCCATAATCCAAGCCATCTGTGCCAATAGGCGCTGTGTGTTCTCATCCATCTCCTCAAATCGCCTCGTCTGGCAGGCCGGCCTGCTCTCCCACCAGTCTTATTTGATTATCATTTGTGCTGCTTTTTTCCCTGCAAACTCTCACCAGAGATGACCATTGTTTTGTGTCTCTGATGATCTATGTATGCAAGTTTCCATGTGCTGGAGTCAATCACAGAAGAGCTGCAATGTGAATGAGTGTGACAGCTAAACTTCTGAGCCTTCTGGATTTCACTTTGTTAAGCAAGAGTTGAGATTTTGGGAGGGTTTTTTTTTTTAAAGAGTAACTGTGCTGTCTTTGTGTTCAAAAGAAGAGTTTGATTATTGATGGTAAGATTTGGTCATTGTGCCAGGGTTGCACTTTGGCTGAAACTTAAATGTTTTGATGAAACACTTTTGTTTGTTAGTATCCGGAGTGGGAATTGGTTTTGGTTGTTTATGCACAAGAGACAAAAGTGACACGGTTTACACCAAAAGAGTTATGAAGAAGACATTGACAGAGTTTTGTAGTTTTGACACCTACCAAGCAAACCAAGTTAACAGCAATGTAAATTAAATCACTGAACCAAACAAAGCTAAGCAGGAGAAGTCTAGTAATCGAGTTATGCTCTTATAAAACATCATAGAAGTGTGCGAATAGACAGTAATTTCAAAAACATGCAAATGCCCCGTGATTCAAATGTTTTACTGCTATCAGCATAAAAGATATCTTAGTAATCATAGCCTTAAATGCTATACGCATTGCTTGCCTTGTTCTATCTTCTGAAACTAACGTGATGTGAAACGTGCATCATTGTGATGGTCATCAAGACCACAGCTTGCACGTAAAGTTGAAGTGAACTCTGCGTTTGCTTCGTATCACAAGAACCATAGAAGCTGCGAGCAGCAGGCCTTCGCTGAGGTTTTAACTGCCTTGTGAAGTTCAGTGGTCACATTGTTCTCTTTTCCTTGAGATAAGCGCTGCCTGAAACAGAAGCAGCAATAAACATGAATGGACCTGAACTAAAGTTGAATGTGTGAGGTAGATAACGATTCAACGACTAGAGGTATCGGTTTTTCTGGAGATCGTGAGCATAAAAATGCACTGTGTTGTTTTTGACATCCATAATCTCATTAGAGAAGCCACATTTTTTGTCTCACCAGTGTTAAGGCCGTTTATATCTACTTGAAACTGGAAATGTTTTTTTCAATAGAGAAACTAGCGTGTATCGTTTGTCGGGGAGCATATCTGTAATGTTAATCACTGGATTTCTGTAATTATGCAGCATTATCTGATATATGATCAAGTTGATTTTTTTTTTTTTTTTTTTAACCTTGATTTTTTTTTTTTTTTTGCTTGACCATTTGTTTTGAGGTCTGTGACAGCATTTACATTCGCCTCCTGTGTTCATGTCCGCAGAGGAGAACGCTGTGGTGTGGTACAGTCTGCTGCCGGGTCCCGGCTATGAGCTCTTCAGCATCAACCCATACACCGGCCTGATTACCACCACCTCCTACCTGGACAGAGAGCAGCAGCAGCATTTTACTCTCAGAGGTAGGACACATAAGCAAACATCTGTTAGTCCTGAGCAATAACATTTTAAATAACAGTTTTCCACAATAAAAGCCAGAAGTAAAGCACGTATCTATTAACAAAAATTAGAAAGTTTAATTATAAGTTCAGGGTTAACAAACTCGAAGGAAAATCGGCAGTTGTGCAAAACAATGCAGTAAAAGTCACATGTTTAATGACTTCCAGAATGATAACACTGAAGACATCAGAATTATGCTCAGAAACTAAGTAACTCATCACCAAATTTATTTATTTTTTTTGTAATAAATCAGAGCAATCTAATACAACAACAGATGTAAAAGGAAATCTTGTGTTTGTCAAGTGTCAGTCGTACAGCATTGGGCAAAAGTCTTGGGAAATAGGTGGAGGGGTTTGTTGAAACGTGTAAACAAGACAAGTTTTCTTCAATTTCTTTAAGTAGTCTTCAGGAATAGTTCTCCAGGCTTGTTGAAGGACATTTAAAGCTCTTCCTTGGATGTTGGCTGACTTTTTTTCGGTTCTCTGTCAAGATGATACCACACTGCTTTAGTAATGTTGAGGTCCGGGCTCTGGGGAGGCCAATCCAAGACTGATGGTGTGTTTTTCTATGCAGGTATGCTTTTACTGCATTGGCAGTCTGTTTGGTATCATTGTCAAGCTGAAAACTGAAGCTGCTGCCAATCAGATACTTTTCAGATAATATTGCATAGTTGAGCAATACCTGACGGTACATTTCTACATCCATAACTGGTTGGAATGCAGCCGCAGACCATGACTGAGGCTCCACCGTGTTTTACAATTTATAATTTGCACCAGAGGTACACTTCAACTGTGAGAGACAGAATGTGAAAAAAAAATCCATGAATTCACATGGTAGGATTTGTAAAGAATTTATTCGTAAATCAGGGTGGAAAATAAGTATTTGGTCAATAACAAAAATACAACTTTGGAAGAATTTTGAGTAGAATTTGGTATAACATAAACAGTTCTCCAAGTATGATTTTTTTTTTTTTTTTAAAAGTTAGCCCTTCCTAAAGCAAAACCTGGACGGGGAGTT